GTGTGTGTTTACCTCTCTAATCCCCAGCTCTCCTCACATGCCCCAGGAGAATTCCTTGTCCCCGCAGCTCCGATCACCCCTCCCTTCCTGGCCATGCTCCTGCCAAGGTGGGCTGTGGGCTCTGCCCATGTGACAGCCACAGGGCCTGGGGGGGGGGGCGTTGGCTGGTGCTGGGTTCAAACCCCACGGAAGACAGTGAGAACCACTGACCCAGACCAGCTAACACCTGTTCAAACTACAGCTGCCTTCACTGTGCACTAAGGCCCTGTCTACACTCCAGGCTTCTGCCGGCATAGCTGTGTCGCTCAGAGGTGGGAAGAGGTGTGATCCCTGACCGGTACCGCCGTGCTGGCACAAAGCCCTAGTGTAGACAAAACACAGAGTGCTCTCCGCAGTTCAGAGAGGTGAACGGAAGAACTCCTCCCATCAGCGTGGGCTAGGGGGCTACGTCGGCGTAGGCTCTGTCGTGTAGACAGTGCCACTATAGCTGCATCCACACCAGGAGTGCTTTGCTGGGAGCGTACACCGGGAGTCCCAGACTCTGCTAGTGTAGACCTAGACTAGGATTTTAAGAGGTGTTGGCGAACGCATATTAGCAAGCCACCCCTTTCTCCAGTGTGGACAAGCTCTTGGGCTTCACCATGACCAGCCAAGATGAGTTTTGAACCCCTCTCTGCACTAGCGGCTAAGGTTCGATTTAACAATTAACACCTTTGAGTTCCCAGAGGTGCTAACCCCCTGTTTTCTCCGTGTGGGCCGGGCTGCTGGCTCTGGGAGGTGCTGGGGACGCTGCAGGGACTGGGGTCGTGATAAAAGCTCAGACAGACAGACGGGAAGTTAGTGGGCGGGCAGGTGTGTGAAGAGAAAGAGGGCACTTCGGATGGGCTGATACGGTTGTTGCTGGCTGGGAGCTGGGGGAAAAGGGATGGATGATCATCCCGTTTGTGGAATGAAAGAGGATTATCTCTCAGCAATAAATATTAAAAGGGATGTCCAATAAATAGAAACAGGGAGGGAGGTGCATGAAACATAGCCGGGCAGGGGCCTGTGGCTGGCAGCCAGCTGTGGAGCTGAGCCAAAGTTCTCTGCCGCACCAGGATGAGCATTCGTTGGCACTGAGGTGCCCATTGAATACCCGCTGTGTTTTTGGGCTGCACACACGACTCAAAAATATTATTTCTCTGACAGCTGCATTTAGGGATCCCAGCTGAGATCAGGGCCTCGCTGTGCTGGGCAGCAGTGTTGCCAGCTGTAATATTTGGTGTTTTTTTCTCAAAGCTCCAGCTCCTGGAGTCAGGGGATTATGTGAGGATCTTGGCTGGCCCCTCCTGCCGCACGGTTGGCTGCAGCCACGCTGCTATTTCCAGCCCACGAGCTCGCTCAATGCCAGCATGGGGATGTCTGCCCAAGTTGGAAATGACACTCCGGCTGCAGGGTAGACGTCCCCTGAGAGAGCCAGCGGGCTGGGTGGGAAAGGTGTGGCCCTGCTCGGCCCTGATTCACGCCCGCTGCGATCCTGTGGGCTTTGCACTGGGCCAACTCCAGCCCCAGTGTCAGGAACTGCAGCCAGCTCTGCTCTGTGACCCCGGCTCTGCACCCAGCCCGGGGCTGCCCCGGGAACTATGTGGCATATGTCTGGGCAA